TGTCCACACACGATGTGATTGTCATAACGTCCTGTATGTCCACACACGATGTGATTGTAAGCCCTGCCTTGTTTCTTTCTCACTAAAATGTGTCTACAAATAAAGATTTAAGAAACGAATCATTAAGTTCTAAGTCAGAGGCTCTGTACTAATTGGCGATACAGCTGCAACTCCAAGCTTTGGTTTTGAAGCTGTGGTCGAAGCATGGATAAGGTAGACTATAGACTTTTCTCTTGGGTTGTTCATAATGCCATGGACTTGAGTGTGATTCTTCCACCAAATAGATGATAATATGTTATAACCTGGAACTTCATGTTCATCAAAATAATAACCACATAGTTTAAAAAAAAAAGCATAATCAATAATCCAGAAAAGCTGTACCAGAGATCTCATACCTCCCCATAAGAGGCAACCATTTAAATACTATTTCTGATTCTAGCCAGGGATGCTGTCTCATGCCTATAATCTCAGCACCTTGAGAGGCTGAGACGTGAGGATGTCAGGTCAAGGCCAGCTTGGGCTACTACCCAGACTGTCTCAAGATAACAATTATTTCTAGTACTTCTAATGATTTCTGCCATCCTCTAAGCACAGTCACATGTCGCAGAAAGGCATGATGGTCAACAATAGGCTGCACATCCCACAGCAAAACATAAGCTGCACCATACAGCCTAGGTGTGCAGTAGGCTAGACCATCTAGGTTTGTTGTTCATTTGGCTTCTTCAAGACAAAGTTCCTGACTGTCCTGGAACTCACTTGTAGACCAGGCTGGCCTCAAACTCAGAGATCCACCTGCCTCTGCCTCCTGAGTGCTGGGATTAAAGGCATGCACCACCATTGTCTGGTAATACCATCTAGGTTTGTATAAATCCTGTCTATAATGCTCCCACAACAAAATCAGTCTTTATTCATCATACAGATAACATTTATTTTCCCCCTTATGACTTAGTTCTCCCCCTCTTCTCCTTCCTCTGCCTTCTCCAGTATTTACCATTTTATTGACCTTGACCTTGACCTTGGCTACCTTTCAGACCTTACTATGTATAACTAAGCATTTCTCTTTTGAACTATCCACTTTCCGTGGCATCCATGTGACTATCTCTAATGTGAAGGAAGGCAGCAGGCTGCAAGTCGGTGTCAAGAGAAACAGAAATGACTCTGGGCGTAGAACCTTTTGTGAAACCTGACTGCAGACCCTCAGCTCGGTCCCTACGCTGCAGCTTCTTTCTCTTCAGATCTACTTACATCCACTTTTCTAGCGTGTGTGTGTGTGTGTGTGTGTGTGTGTGTGTGTGTGTGCAAAAATAGGAGACTCAATAAAGTATTACAGTGCAACCACCATGTAAGCATTCCTGCAGTCTAGAATAGCATGTTGTCTGAACACTAGGATGGACGTTCCCTCCTCTCCCTAGGCCCTGCACTTCCCCAAAGAAACACACTCACAACTTTCTTGACTGTGATTAGAGCTTTATACTTACAGTGTCCCAAGCACTGTAGTTAGGCTTTGCCTCCTATGATTAAGTTTTGGGGACTTTGGTAGCTTTGTTTGTTTTCTGAGACTGTTTCTCTCTAAGCATCCCAGACTGGCCCCAAATATATGATCATCCTCAGCCAAAGTCTTCTGAGCTTCGTTGTTATTATTGAGACAGTCTGAGCTAAGAATATGGGTGTGTGCCACCACCCTGGACAGCATTGGGGAGCTACATATAAATGGAATCCCATGGTAAGAATCCTTCAGATCTCACTTCCTTCATCTAATTGCTCCATGGATGCTGCACACCTATATGTCATGGGATAGAAACAGAGTTTATGCGTCATCATGGGTGTGTAGTAGTCTAGTGTACGACAATTGACAACGGTATTCTTTTCCTGGGGAAATGTAGATGGTTTCCTATTTGGGGCTAGTTTGGAAATCGCTACTGTGAGCCTTGCTGCATCTATCTATCAATGTCTACTTTCATGCCTTCCTGTCGGCCATGATCCTAGTAGAACTAGTAGAACTGAAATACAGTAAGGCATGTGTATCTTCACCTGGACACACACTGCCGAAGTGTTCTCTTGAGCAGCTGGACCGATCTGTGATCCCACTAGTGATTCTAGAGTGGTCCCAATTTTCTGCTTCGTGCCAACTCTCACTGTCATCAGACGCTTTTGTCAAGGTATTCTGATAAGTCTCTATTAGAATCTCACTGTGATTATAGCTTTATTATATATTATATATCCTTTATTAATAGTGACCTGGAACAATTTCATATGTTTTATGGCCATTTTAGGTAAATTCCTTTGTGATTTTATTGGATTTATTTAATTGAATTAACATCTTTTAATTTAAAGGAACATACACATGTACAGTTGGTTATGCGTTGCAAATGCTTTCTCTTCTGGATGGCTTGCCCTTTCAGTCTCTTCAGATGCCCTTGATGGGGAAAAAAAAATGTGTAATGTTAGCAGTCCAGTTTCTCAATCTTTTCCATCTTGGTTAGCAACATTGCAAAGACACCTGCCTTCAGAACCTCCCAAAAGTGCCGCTCTTGGCCTCTCTCACTCAGGTTCTCCACTCCACCAGAATGCTTATGCACTTGACATGGACAGTGGCTCTCTTGGCCCTATTTGATGAGAAGGACTTTCCCCGGTGCTCAAAAACGTCAACATTTACATAAACCATAAGTCTGTCTCTCGATTCCAAACTCCACCCATCATTCTAATGTTCATCTTCACCTTAGATAACATACCTTCCTTTATGACACACTCTAGTATACAGAAGAGCAAATTCCCTGGTTTTTTTTTCCCCCAAAGGTTACTTCATGAGCGCAGGCCTTTTGCATTTTGTACAATCAAGTAGTCAATTCTGGGGAGAAAAACAAATGAGAAGTCTTTGGAACTGTCTAGAAACTTCAAAATGTAGGGAATTGACATCTTTACTATAGGGATCTTTTTGGTTTTGTTTTGTTGTTGTTGTTGTTGTTTTCCTGTTGTTTATTTCTGGTTTTAGTGTTTTGAGACAAGGTATCTCTACATAACCCAGGCTGTCCAGGAACTCACTCTGTAGACCAGGTTGGCCTTTCACTCAGAGATCCACCTGCCTCTGCCTCCTGAGTACTGGGATTAAAGGTGTGTGCCACTATGCCTGGCCCACTACAGGGATTTTTTTCAATCCTCAAATGTAGTTGTAACCTTTTGTATTATCTAAATAGTTCTTCTCTCAGTAATGATTTAAAATCTTATATGAAAAATCTTTTAGCAATTTCATTAGTTTCATTTCTGTTTGCCACGTGTAGTTTGCTGTTATTTAAAATGTTATTTTAAATTTATAGTCTGTGTGTGTGTTACCTTCATGTATTTGTACTAGATGCATGTATGAGGTCCACTGAGGCCAGAGGCAGTACCGCATTCCCTAGAACTGGAGTTCCAGATGGTTGTGAACTACTGTACGGGGGCTAGGACTCAGCAAGGTCCTATACAAAGGCCAGAAGTGCTCTTGACCACTGAGTCGTTTCTCAAGCCCTCTAAAATGTTTTGGGCTAAAAAAAAAAAAAAAAAGTTTTCTATTTGTTGCTAGTTTTTAAGGAAATATGACTGACTTTTTTTTTTTGAGGTCCCAACAACTTTGCTAAATGTACCCACCAACTTCAATAGCGTCTGTAGATACTGCTGGGTTTTCTACATACACAACCGTATCACCTATAATTAGCCATCTTCATTCTACTCTGATTGTCTTGATTCACCACCTGGACCATTTGGC